CCCCCCTCCCCCCCAAAGGACGAACTTCCTCTTCTCCGTACGCCATTGATCGATCCTTTGACATCAACTTCTATAAACTACCACGATGCCCGCCCCTTCAACCACCCTCCTCATCGAGGGCTCGTTCACCGAACTCGCCGATGAGTTCGCCCAGTACATCGATGCTCTTCGCAAGCCCGACGCCGCCGCGTCCAGTCTCCAGGCCGACATCGCCCCACTGTTGGAACCTCTGCGCCAGCAGGAACAGTCTGGTACCGAACCTGATCGCAAGCAGCGCGATGAGGTTCTGAAGAAGCTGGTTTCCGCCGCTACCGTCCTGAATGCGGCCCCCGAGAAGGGTAAGCAGTTCTTTGGTTGTTGCTGCGGGGCCAAGAAAGACCCAAAAGACTCATGACACATGGACGCAATTGACGCAATTGACGCAAACCAGAGATTATCTCCGCCTACAACCTCCTCGTCCACCTCGTCCACCAGGCCTCCGATCCGGACATGTTCCTCTCTCGCATTTGCTCCTACCTCGCTAAACCCATCACCGCCTCTCCCCAGTTCGGCCCCTCCCTAGCCATCTCCATCTTGTCCACCATCTTCAACACCCTCGCTCCCGCCGACTCTAGCCGTTACCACGTTCTTTTGGCCATCGTTGCTGTCATCCGCCAGGCCGGTGCCTCGGTCGCATTCGACGCCCTCAAGCCCCAGCTGACCTCTCAGCTGCCTGCTTGGCTTGCCGCCTGGGAGCTCGAGGCTGAGGAGGCCCAGCGCCTGCACTTGGCCATTGCCGATGCCGCCCAAGCTGCTGGAGACGCCGAGCTTTCCCAGTCCCATGTCGTCCAGGCCCTGCAGACTATTCCCGCAGCCCAGGCCTCCAGTTCCGAAGCCCGCGATCTGGCCGTTCGTGCCCTGACTTCGGCGCTCACCTCTCCCGCCGTCTTCGACTTCACTCCGTTGACCGCTTCCGATGCCGTTCAGGCCCTGCGCGCCAGCGACAGCACCCTCTTCGAGCTGCTCGAAATCTTCACCGCCGACACCCTTGACGCTTACGAGGCTCTTATTGCCACCAGCCCTCTGGCTGGTATCTCAGGCGGTGTGCTGGCCGAGGCGGGCGATGCTCTGCAGACTAAGATGCGCCTGCTCACCCTGGCCTCGCTGGCCGCTACCACCCCCTCCCGCTCTCTGCCCTATACCACAATCGCCAGTGCTCTGCGGGTGTTGGACGAGGATGTCGAGAAGTGGGTCATTGATACCATCCGTGCTGGTCTCGTCGAGGGTAAGCTTTCGCAGCTGCGCTCTGAGTTCCTCGTCCACCGCGCCACCTACCGCGTCTTCGGCGAAAAGCAGTGGGCGGAGGTGCAGGGTCGCCTGATGGTCTGGCGCCGTAGCCTGGAACGCGTTTTGGGTGTTGTTCGTTCCGAGCGTGAGCGCTTCGTGCGCGAGGGGCTGCAGGCGGCCCAGGCGGCTGAAGAGGCTGCTCAGGGAAAGTCCGCCGACAAGGGCAAGTCGGGTGACCGCCGTCGCCACCAGGGCAACAACAACAACAACAACAACAACAACAACAACCAGAACCAGTCTTCGACCCCGGCCGCTCCTGTCGCCAGTGCCCCCGTGGAAGCTGTGGCTGAGTAAATGATGAAAGGACGGAAATGCGGGGAAGGATCAATGACTGATGATGAGACCTACATACCTTGTTTTTTTTGTCTTTCGACCTGCTATCTACCAGATACCACACCCTTCAAACCGCGCAGACGGAGCTAGGGACGAGCTAGAAAAAAGACTTAAAAGTATCTCTGTGTCATGGCTGGGCAGCGGTGTTAAACGCTAATTTTTCGTGTCTTTGGATTGGGTGTTTGTAACTGATTTCTTGTGTTCAAGGCTGGAATGTTCTCTTTCACTGTCGGATCGAGATGGACGATTTGGGATCGCTTGCGGTGTCAGGAGGTGGTCTGCTGTACCTAGAACATGGAGGATGAATCGACTGTGTGAGATGACCTTTATTGTTATATGTCAGCCCTAGTGGCGGAGGGACCTCCCTCTCCTGGGGTTTATGCGTCCTCGGCGGAGATCAGGGGCAGAAAACTCCAAAGATGTAGAATCAGGCAGATCAGCCCCGCAACCATGTCTATAACAAGATTGAATCTCCAACACTATTGGCAATGTATATAGATGTGAATATGTATGTACTTCAAAACGCTGACACTATAAACCGACCACACACGTATCATCGCCCAACCGACTGCTCCACAAGCCCTGGAATCTCGGCGACACATCGCCCATTTTCCTGGCGGAACTCACAGGGGGTTCAAGCCCTTCTCGCGGAGCCCCACCCGAATCCTCTCATAGACGTCCTTGACATCGCCGGTAGCTTTCACGGAGACCACCTTACCCTGGGCCTCGAAGGCCTCGACGACGGGCATGCTCGTTTCGACAAAGGTACGGAAGCGCTTGCGGATGCTCTCGGCGTTGTCATCGTCGCGACCGCTGGTCTCGCCACGCTTGAGGAGGCGGGCCTCCATCACCTCCTCGGGGCAGTCCAGGAAGAGGGTCATCTCGGAGGGGCAGACCGTGTCCTCGAAGAAGACGGCCTGGTCCAGCTTGCGGGGGAAGCCGTCCACCAGGAAGCGGGGCTTGCTGCCTGCGTTGGCGGCCGGGTTCGTGCCGGCGGCCAAGGTCTCGGCCATGGCGTCGGACAGCAGCTTGACGGTGATCTCCATGGGCACAATCTTGCCCTCGCGGATGTAGGTGCGGATGAGCTCGCCGGCCTGGCTCCCTTCGCGGACTTGCTCGGCGCGGAGCAGGTCTCCGGCCGACAGGTGCGTGAAGCCGTAGTCGCGGACGAGGTTGGCAGACTGCGTGCCTTTGCCGCTGCCGGGCCCGCCGAGGACGAAGACGACGGTTGTCGTGGTGGGGGAGAAGCGCGGGGAGGACATTTTTGTAGGATGTATTGGCTTTTTTTTCTTTTCCTTGTGTTATTTGAATTTCCGTTGGGAGGCGAATGAGATCGAGTGGTTTCTCCAAAAGAGAAATAAGATCGAGAGACTTGTAAAAGAGCGGCGGGTTGGGAGGCGGGGGGCCGAAGGCGCGGAGGGGTTCGAGTCCTGTAAATCAGGTAGAAGACAAAGATGTTAGTTTGTTTTTTGGTGGGGGAGTGAGTGAAGCGGGAAAGAGGGGTACATATAGAGAAGGCGCTTGGAGGTACTGTACAGTACAATAACAATCGATTTACTTACTTAAACGGCCTCGGATGGCTTGGGTTTATGGACTCCGGTACGGGACTTTGAGAGGAGAATGAAGGAACCAGATCCGATACCAATAATGATCAGGAACGGAAGGACTTTAAATTGAGAACGGCTGTATTGAGTGGATTGAGGAGGGGAAGGATGGGGGGAAGAAGTGGAAGAGGAGGGAGGAGAGGAGGAAGAGGAGGAAGAGGAAGAAGAGGAAGAGGAAGAGGAGGGAGCGGAATAGGGGCGGCGGGGTTGCAACTGGAGCTGTTGCTGGAGAAGCACCCGAGAAGAGGCACGCAGTGAGCGAGGAACAGTCCGGATTAGGGTCGACATGAGATTGAGATTGAGATGGGGAGGATGAGGAGAATGAGGAGACCGAGAAGCGCAAGAGAGAACGAAAGAGAAAGAGGAATGGATTGAAGTACTGAGTCAATGCAGCCGGTTGTCGAGGAACTACGAAGTCAAGTTGCAAATGATTCAATCGTACTCCGTAGGCAAAAAGTTGCATTCTGCAAGGCTCAGTTTGGTTGGTTTGACCCCGTTTTTGGCTGACGGGGAGGCCGTTTGCGGACTAGCGCCACGTGGGCAAGGTACATTGCAGCTGGACTGTACATACATTTAGGTATAATGAAGAGAACTTGATATTTAAATCCAAATTTATATTTATATTTATATATCCACATATCTTGATATGTATGTATCTACTAATAGGTAAGTTATATATATATGTCTCTCTAAAACAATATGCCCCGCTGAAAATCAATGCTTTTGCTAATCATCCGCCACCACTGGAACCTCGTAGTATGCCTGCATACGACGCTGCTGAAGCATCCAGTAGATGCCCGCCAGGAGCCCGCTGACGGAACACACCACTAAAATGAATATCAAAAGGCCACCCACACCGTGAATGATCTCATTGGCCATATTGACGGCCTTGGCCTCCTCCTTGGCCTTTTCATATGCCTCATCGACCTCTTCCACGTCCTCCTCTGGTGCCTTCTGCTTGCCATATAGAATAGCTGGATCGTCCGGCGCGGGCTTCGCATCGCCCTGGAATCCGGCCAGGCGCCAGTTCGGCGGTGTGTCTGTCCGGTGGATCTCTGATGTGCCCAAAACGTTGCCATCCCCGTCGACTGCTTCCACTGATACCCAGTCCAGGTAGCCTTCGGCGATATACATGGTCTCGAAGTCGAATTTGGTGGTGTTGCCGATCAGCACCGGAAGACCCTGCCGGTCAACGCGTGCATAGAAGTTCCAGGATGCAACATCCGTTGCACCGTTCCAACTGACATGGAAGATGGTTGCCATATCCGTCTCGTCCGTTCCGTAGACCGATGCCACAACGTCCGGCGGTTGGCTAGGCCGACCCACGAAGGGGAATTTGTACGACCGGTAAGAAGAGAAGCGCGTGGACGCGAAATTAGCCTGCATCAGTACCTTGCCGTCAGGACTATGCTCGCTCTGGTATCCTCGCTCGCTCCAACCAACAAAGACGTTGCCGTTGGGCAGCCTTTGAACACTGCCACGCAGCCTGGTCAGGTCGCCGTCTGGCCGGTCGTACCGATCAAGTAGGCGGGCCGTCATGGTTGTTGTGTCGACCTGGACGAACATCGCAGCTGAGACTGTCTCCTCGTTCTCCGCCTCATCAGACGCATTGTTGAGGAAAGAGAGAGTCGTGTGCGTGGCGTTAGAATCCACAAACCGCGCGTGATGTTGCTTGGAAAAGGTAAAATCCTGGACAAAATCGGAATACCTACCGCCCAGTCGCCAAATGATGCGTCCGTCTTCGCCGGATATTAAGTAGATTGTGCTTGTGAATCGGGCCGACAGCAGATAATCACCTGCCGCATTTTTGTCTGCCGCGTTCACATGCACATAATCCCAGCCAGGTTCATTGGATGCCGGCCAGTCGGCGTTTACTTTGACAGACTCATGAATGGGAATGTATCCCAGTGAATTCCACTCGAACAAGACCTCGCCTGTCGCGATGTCCAGCTCGACGAGCCCCCCTGTGACTATCCAACCGTACTCGTTTGGCCGGCCAAGGTCCCCTAAATCCACGTATTCATTCCGGTAGGCGCAAGCTAGTGCTGTCTTTCCGCCGTCGAGGACATTGAACTCATGCATATTGAAAGTCCCAAGATCGTTAGTCACTGCAACTACATTCTCCGGCTCGTAATGCTGGTCGAGGATGTAACCATATCCTTTATCCGATGCACCGGAATTGTAGCCATGTTGAAGAATGAATGAAAGGTGGGATTCGTTGTCAATGTTCTTCACGGCCTTGAAATCAAATATGTTGCGGTTGTCAAACATGCAAGATCCGGCCCAGATGAGAACCTAATGATCCACACTTGGTAAGCTTGATGCTCCGTAGTTTCGAGGCAATTTTAAACGAGCATTACGCTTTCTCGCAGCAGGTACCAGAGAAATGACTCGGCAGAGAGACAGAATCAAGGAACGATGAAAAAAAAGGGAAGAAAAGAAGCATGAAGATGGGCACTTACACCATCTGCGTCATAAATGTAGGGTCCAACTTGGCAAGGTTTCCATTGCTTCGTGGGTGCTTCTGGGTCAATCACGCCATATGGCGCAACGAACCAATACCCCGGACTGACAGCCGGCCGATCGTAATAGGCAATATCGAATTTTAGGGCTCTGATCTCCGGCAGCTGATTGATTGTTAGTTAGTCAGTTAGAGACAGACGAGGGTCGATGTTAGCACTCTTGACCAATTCTTACCGTGACAAAGGACATCAGATCACTATCAGCTTCGGCTTTCGCGACTGAACCTCGGAGAGCAAGCAATGACAGAAACCAGAGGGATAACATGTTGAAGGAGTGACTGGGAGAGGAATGATCCCCTCCAAAGGCGACATACAACCAACTGAATGGGTAATAAGCAACGAATAATGAACTCAAGGTTGAAAGGCCAAGAAGCGAGAGAGACAGAGAAATAGAGAAGAAAAGAGAGAAACACGCGGCAGACGAAGGGGAAACGATCAAATCAACCAGCACGGTCGTCACCCGACCCCAGAGCCAAATTCCTATCAGTCGAGGGTGATCATCGGAGACGCTGCCGAGCGGGGAGGGCAAGGGGAAAGAAACAGTTCCATGTTTGGAGTATGAATAATGAGGGCCTAATCATTTACTCGTACTGGAGTACGTACTCGCCCCCGTACGGAGTACGGCAACAGGAGTAGTAGTAGTAGTTGTAGCGGCAGCAGCAGCAGCAGCAGCAGCAGGAGCAGCGGTGGTGGTGCAGTGTGTCCGCCAGCAGGAGACGGGAGTGTAAAAACCACTCTAGAAAGGGAACGGGATAGGGTTGGGGACAAGGCTTCATTGCAATAGGCTAGAAGTCCGCAAAGTCTGAAGGACACTCCATCAAGCTTGGCCAGGAAAGGTCAAAGACAACGTAATGGCTGAGATGGACGCTGACGATCAGGCGAGGCGGACTCTCTTGGCGGCGTTTCGGAAAGTGGAGCTGCAGCACCACACAATCCAGCCAGATTCGTGGACTCACTGGAACGAAATGGACTCAAGTACGAGTACCTTACTCATAGGAGTATGAGTATAATAATAAATGAACTGAAATCATCGTAGATTGTACGTGTGAGTAATACCTCATACTACTATGGAGGTGCAGTTTACACCACGTGATATACGTGGTTCGAAGTCTTGTCACCCGTTTGAAGATAGATATCTTCTTTGCTGAGATCGGACATCGGACATCGGACATCGGTTACATCTCCTTGTACCCGTGACTTGGCACCGAGTGACCCAAAACGTGGCATTCGTCGTGGCTGTCCATGGGTGACGTTTCAAAGGTCTTGGCACAACAATGGTTAAATTGCCAAAATGCGATTCCACTCTGAGTCGGTTGTGAAGTTGTGGTTCTCGCTCGATTTGGGCAAGCAAATGAATGACACTTGAGTTCGTCTACTTGACCATTGAGAAGAAGAGACACTGATCCGCCGAGATCGGAGATGGTTCGAGTGCCTCACGGGCCGGCTGTTTTCACATTAATTGAGCCAACCATAAAAGCAAATATTAGCAGTCTTTTGCAGCGCATATATATCCATGTACATACATACAATGTATGATCACAGAGAGATGAGGGCCGGAGTCTAGACAAACATAACGACATGGGCTGGACCCTTGGTTCATGGTCTCATTCCTAGTACGAATCCTTTTCTGTCCCACTTGCCCCTTGGCGCACCGTCTGACAATTAAAATTGGCACAGATTGCGCTAAGATCAAAAGGTACAGTAGAAGCCTTATCAACTCTTCCACAATGTAATATCAATCTTTTAGATCTTCAATGCTCAAAGGATATAATGGTCATTAAGAGGCCCGCTAGCTGTGGCGCACAACCCACCCTTCACATAGCATAGTCCGCAATGTCAGGCTCCTGAGATATTTTCGGCTTGTACTTGAGAACTTCGGCCACGGCTATCAACAGCAATCCCTCCGTGCTTTTCACATCCTCCATGCCTAGCTGAGGTGGGAGCCATTGCCCGCACACATCCGTGAGGTTGAGTCGGGCTAGATCTCCCAGACCATCATGCTGAAGCGCATCTACGATAAGCGCCCATGCCAAAGAACTGTAGAGAACCCCTTTATGGGTATAAAAGCCACCGCCGGGCCGATTCCGGCCGATAGTCTGTAAGTGGTTGTTGGACACATCTGCTACCGGGGAACCTTGTGGTATCCCGGAAGCCTGCTTTCCACTCATCACGATCTGATCATATGGGGAATAGACAATCGTCGTGGGCACATAGGCCGAATCGCCTCCGACGCGTCTCAACGCCCGAACAAATCTTGCATGCCACGCTTGTTGCCAGATGCCAGGAGTACAGACAACGCTCGAGAGGATAGCGCAAACAAGTGTTATCTCCAGTGTCCCATTGAAGTCGGGACTGATCGCAATCAGATCCGTGACTACGGCACGCGTGGACGGCCGATACTTGAATGTCCTTTAGGTATTGAGACCTCCTTGAGACCATGCTATGACTGTCAGCTTATTTTCCGAGAGGGTGGAGAAATATTTGATTGCGTATGCAATATATTCCGAAATGACTTGGACGTCCCCTAGAGACGCGGAAGGGACATTAAACCCAGGCCATGGTTACTTCAGGTATCGCCTTTCGTAGCTTTCCAAGGTTGGACTGGAACATTGAGCCGGCAGGAATGGCCGTGCCAGGAACGAGAAGAACGGGTTTGCGTTCACCTTTTCTCCTGGTCAGATCGTCTTGTATAAAGATAGCAGCCCGGAGAGTCTCCTCCGCGACACTATAGGACACATCCCGAGCAGCTTTCTTTGGATATAGCGGTTGATGTGCTAGCACTGGATTTCTGTTGTGAAGCAAATTTAGTCGAGAGTTCTGATACTGATTGAGCCCCATGAGTATGTCCTGTGACAAAAGTTCTGAAGTGACAATCTTGAGAGCGAGACCGACAAGAGTGAATTGCCGACCTCTGGCGAAGATCTTCTCAATCATCTTCAAGACCAGGACCACGGAGCCGTCTTCAGTAATCGGAGGAGCGATACTCCCTGCAAGCCTTGCTTGCATGGCAAGAGCAATATATAGGACTCGGCCATCCACTCCGGGTTCAAGGGCAGCATCTGTCAAGATTGAAAGCAAAGTAGGAGCCGGAGTAGACTTGAGCGAGCAGTTAGCCAAAAGTGTCGGGCACGAGCTAAGTGCCCCCATAAAATTGCCAATGAGGAAGCCTGTGCGAGGGAAAAACACGGAGTTTCATTTTGAAGGCCAAAAAGGGAAGATTACCTGAGTGCAGAGGTTTGTGCCTTCAGAGATAAACCCTGAAAGAACCTGCAGCAATTCTACAGAGCAAGATGCAAGATGTATAAACTCCATCCATGCGTGAGGTCCCCTAGTCCTCTTCCCCTCCATTTCCCGGTGCAGCTGATCTCAGAGTCCCAATACTGGAAGTCTTCTCCTGAGTGGAGGTCAATAATAAGCGAGCAAAAAAAAGGAATACTTCGCCATGGATCGAACATCAACCTTGCTCGAACTCAGAAAAAGGGTGCCAGCGGCGGTAGTTCGAAGACAGAGCAGGTGCTAGTGAGTACTGATAGCAACCGCGGCCTTTCGTTCAGTTGGCCAGCTCCTATCTTTGGGATCCAACACCTAAGAAAAGACATGGCGTTGGCCGAAAGGCGTCATACATAGTCCAGGGCCTGCTCTCACTCGGTTTCCAAGTCCCTGCCGCGGGTCCCCTGTAAGCTTGTCATCCGCTCAAAGCTGCGGACTTCTTAGCAACCCCAGCTCAAACCAGAGCCGCGATGGTCAAATGACCAAGAATGCTGCGCAAATGGCTCGTCAGGCTTTCCGTCTGGAAAGAATATGACGCTCTGTGCTGAATCCAATGCTACTATGAACTCAGCTCAGATAAGTCTGATCAAGGGCTCAAAAAGGAAAATGCCGATGCAAACGAGATTTGATCGGGATGAAAGTGGCATTGCTGAGTAGTTCCTTGGTCCCTTTTAATTGTTGAAGTGGGAGAAACCTAACTACTGCCACAATTGCAGCCCTGATATTCGTTTTCCCGTGAGATATATGATCATGTACGAAGTACCTCCCTTTAATCGGAGGTTATGGGCCACTCTGAATGATGGAAGGCTAGTCGGGAAAAGCTGGCCGAGCAATACCAAGTTCATCCGTAAATCATCTGTCCATCACTGTTCACATTAGTCAGTCCGGCATGCGGTGGAACAACGATGAGGATTAGGTGATAAGGCTGAGGAAATTTGCAACGGAATCTGTACCAGTTCTTCATAAATTCAGTCCGCCTGGTCATATGTTGAAAGGCAAAGTCCCCATTCAGGGGATGTTTCTTCGTGGTAACCTGTACACGTACATGCGGACAATAGCAGCAATTTTGATAGAAGAGAAAGCCTTAGGCATCAATATGCGCAGAACCATGGTCATCTTCTCGAATCGGACATGATGTATCCGTATCCTCTAGATATTCCAAGGCCGAAGCTGAGCAGATACCTATGCAAGCCACCCTAGTTACTGCAGTCGACGTTCCGAGATATGTTCAGGCGCTACATACAGAACTAGATGAGAGGAGACAGACCTTGACAAGGGATGTCTGTCCACCGCCAGAAGGCTTTGAACACTAATCGAAGACAGTCTTACGCTCACGTCGCCGACGATGTATGTGACTTGTGGCCACCAGTCAAGCAATAAACCTAATTATTCAATCCCCGCGATGGCCGAATAATGCTTCCCTCGTCTTATGCAGATACTGCACGAGAGGTTTCTGTAAATCCGGAGGGCGTCTTGCCTAACGCCATAAATCAAACGCCTCGCAGGGGGCCTAGATTGTGGATGAAGCAATATGCTCAGAAGCATGGATAAGTATGGTTACATCTTCAAGGGTATACGAGGGCAGCACAATCTCTATGGTTACGGTTGCTTGCCCAGCGTGAACCTGGACATTGTGTTTCGCTGCAACATCTGATGGTAGATTCGGGAAGCAACACTCGGGACAACATCCCTTCTTAGTCGTCGAAACTCATGTTCATCCATGCCTGCTTGGCTACCATGGAATTTACTGATGATGACATCGTTGTCTTGGCCTGAGTGAATAGTGGGAACGAAGCACCGATAGTGGTATGTTGAGGTTGATATCTAAGTTACAGCGAGGATACGAGGACGCTTGCCTACTATGTAGTGTTGAGCATGGCATTGGGTAAAGACGAGCAGTTGAGCACCAACTAGCAGACGTGATCTGACAGTAGCAATGATGGAAGTCACTTGCATCGGAACCAGGACTTTCCCCCCTTGCTACTCTTGAGCTGCATTCAATTCATCTCAAGCACGATGGGAGTCGTTCAAGAGTCCCAGTACACCACTAGCTGGGCTCAACCCTTGGCAGTACGTGTCTCGGTATCTTGGCAGGGTATCTGGAATGCAGGAGGAAAGTGAAACCAAAGCGATTTTCAATTTTGGCGGTGGGGATGGGGTTGTAGGTAACTGGGGAGGTGTATGTTGAAACCCGAACTCTACCTAAAGAGAGAGAGAGAGAGAGGAAGGAGATTGGGGCTGTTCAACGGCGACTTAAGAAGAGAGGAAGAGCCGGAGAAGGATCGATGAAATCGGGAAGGATTATGCAACGAGATAGTTACATAGCTGATGACTGATCCGGGGGGGGGTTTCCTGTCAGGTACCTGAGTGAGTACAGTACATACTAGGTAAGTTAGGAGGGGTGATGATTCGGAGGGGAGGAAGGAGGGAGGAAGGGAGGGAGGGAGGAAGGGTGTGGAGGGTGGATGGATGGCCCACCGAGGGATCCCTACTCCGTAGCCAGTGTAACACTAGACGACGGGATGATTAGCCCGACTACCACCGTTGCACCCAACAGTGGTCTTTATGTATGTACAGTAACTTACTGTCCTGAGTTTTGACTAGAAGTGTCACATACCACTGAGGGGCAAAAACTCGAAGTGAAGCAGCAGCAGAAGAAGAAGAAGAAGAAGAAGAAGAAGGAAACCCAAGAAGGATATATCAGCCAAGGGCCTCTGACTCTCTGTCGTAACTCAACTGCTCAACAACACCAACGACATTGTCATCATTGTCGACTCCCGAGCCAGGCTTTCGGCCTGCCGAATTCGTCGCAGAAGGGACGCAGCCACATTGCCCGACCACCATACCTGTAAAGAGCCACCGTTGAGAATCCATCGGAGAATGTGAGTATGTGGAGGACATCAGTTCGTGTGTCATCATAATCCTCATCCATCAATTATCCATCAATTTCCTTCCCAACCAAGAGACAGGTCACTGGTATCGGAGATACCAAAACAGTTTCCAAACAGGACGTATCTATGAGCGACCAGTACCTAGTAGTAATCAATCCACTTCATCCAATGCAACACTGTCACACTACTGATAATCGAGTTCGATTGCGCCTTTGTATCCACTGATCCACACACGAATAGAACTGCACAGTACAGTACATACAGCTTCTCGCCATAATAAGTACAACACAATGTAGATTCATGAAGGTTAGTCGAGACGTCTGTCTGTCGGTCTGCTTTAGATTTGATACCACGGAGAAGATTACAGCACACTATCTGGTCACCTTTGAGACAAGACAAAATAGGTTTGCAAACCTCCATAGACATTTCAACTACCAATAGCAGTTAGCTCAGGATACCTAGTACGTATAGCATGGGCCAAGCCTGAGCTACTCATTGTGAGACTAATCATATACTACCTTAACCTGTCAGTCACCAAATTATAGTCTAGTCCAACGGCAAGGTAGCAATTTGTTGTCTCCACCAGGCAGACACTCAAGTTAGGGAGAAGAAAGAAAAAGTGGTAAGTACCGGACCATACCTACAATACCAGGCAAGACCATACGAACAGCACTTGCCCTTCCATTCCTTCTGCGTTTCCACTTTTTCACTCAAGTACGCAAACAAGCAAAGCTCTCCCCCCCCCCCTCTCTCTCTCAACAGACAATTTCAAGTCACTTTTTCCCCTGATAAATAAATCACACATACTAAGATTGCAGTTAACTATGTCCCTCCCTTCCCCCTTCCCTCCCTGTTTGTCTGTCTGCCTCTAAGCTGTCATTTGCGATTTTCGTTTCTTCCTCCCCCGCCTCATCCCTCGTACCCTGCGGAATGATAACACGCGCGGCGTTGATTTCGCATACCTTAAGAGACTAGAAGTGCCGGTACAACTCGGATTACCACTGCGAAACCACACCTTGACCGCTGCCACTAAGTCGGTCCTACTCCCACTACTCCCACTACTACTACTACTAAGTTACTACTACGACTGCTACTACTGATACTACTACAACTACAACAATTACGACTACTACTACTGCTGCTGCTACCACGACGACAACGACGACAACCACAACCATTCATCTAACCATATTACCTTCACCTTCACACCCACCCTTCTTTAACTTACTCACTATCCCTTAACTGATTAAACCATTGATTATCACTCCGCTGCAACAAATACCGACTACCACCTCCTTTCCCCCCACTCCAACCACGCAACTTCAACACTCTTCGTCCACCTTCATCTATCCTTTCTCTCATCCCTCTTCCGTCCATTCATCCGCCCATCCGTCACTAAATTTCCCTCCCCGCCCCCTCCCCCTTGCAACTCGTTTGACTTCGGCTCAATCTCCTCCACTCACAGTAGGAAGAGGAGGGAACCAAGCATCCGGAGTACACCTTGCTCTTTTCCTCCCCTACTTTTCTCGGAAGGAAAATCAAAAAGAGAAAAGTGGAAGACAGTAATAGGTATCAGGCTTGACCGTGGTCTTCTGTCACTGATATATCACTACGACATTGATATATTACCGTCTTCTCCGTCTTTTGACTCGTGGTTCGCGGACCGTGTCCACTGCAAGCTGAGCAAGGATTTGTGACTTGCCGTGGCGGTGCCACCCTCGATCTCATACATCTGATCTGCTCCACTGGCGAAGAGAATATTTGAGGATTCTTACCTCATTGGCCCGAGCGAGTGTACTTCTTTTGTCTACTTAAGTGGCCTCTATCTCACGACTGCTTATTTCCGCTGCTTGTTTCGCTGTATGAAAAGCAGCCAAAGTTGACTACGGCCTCGTCTTCTCATTTTCCCCTACCTTAGGCTGGACAGCCACTCGTCGCTACTGCCCGCACTCTTAAAGGTAGACGTCAATACCCGCACCATGCCAGCTCCCTTAGTCAAGGTCCTGCATCGAATGCAAGAACTCTTCACCAACATTGTTGCAGCCCTGGAGGCAATGCTTCTATTCCCATCTCTCTTCCGCGACTCCTCCCGCAAGCGGCGGAAAGCTTTTCAGAGAGCTTATTGGGGACGTCGGACGCTGGATGACTTTGCGAGTGAGATCGATCGTCTGCTCACGGCACCTTTGTCTGTGCAAAACATGATCACAATGTCAGACAAGATTCGTGCGCAGTTCAAGTCCTGTCTTCAAGTCAGCCCGGTATGCATGTTGCCATCCTATAACCATGCTCTACCTTCAGGGGCAGAGAAGGGAACGTACTTGGCGCTGGATGTTGGAGGCTCCACACTTCGTGTAGCCTTGGTAGAACTGCGTGGTCAGGGGGTTATGCGTATCCTTCATGTGTCTTCCTCGTCAATTGATAATGATGTCAAGTTGCTGGAAGGAACGCTGTTCTTCGACTGGATGGCAACAAAGATCGATGCCATGTTACAAGAAGTACGCTCAAATTATGGCCGGGGCGATACCCCACTTTCCATGGGCTTGTCCTGGTCGTTTCCGATTGAGCAAACATCCATAAGCAGCGGATTGGTAATACATATGGGCAAGGGGTTTCATTGTTCTAATGGCACGGTTGGCCAGGAGCTCGGCAATTTAATTGTCCAATCCTGCAGAGCGCGTGGCCTGAACATCGAAGTGGATGCTATCGTGAATGACAGCTCCGCAACCCTGCTGTCTCATGCCTATCTGGATCCGGCGACTCGCATGTCCCTCATTTTAGGGACCGGAACAAATGTGGCTATTCATTTCCCTGTGCACCAGATCGGATTGACCAAGTTCGGCACCAGACCTCCAGGTTGGTTCAATTATGCAAAACACGTTATCATCAACAGCGAGATGAGTATGTTTGGTGGCGGAATATTACCTATGTCCCGGTGGGACGAGGTTCTGAACAGCACTCATCTTCGACCTGACTATCAGCCTCTGGAGTATATGATCACTGGCCGCTACCTGGGCGAAATCATTCGGCTTATTATCGTCGAGGCAGTGGACACAGCACAGCTGTTTGGCGGCAATCTTCCTCACTCAATGCGCGACGCTTACTCTTTTGACACTAGTATCATGGCTTACATCGAAGCTGATACATCGCCCAGCTTAACCTCTTCGACAAACATCTTGCAGAAGGAACATACGTTTACCACACCTCCGTCGTTGGAGGACATGCGATTTCTCCAGCGCATCTGCCAGATCGTCTCGAACCGAGCCGCAGGATATCTTGCGACAGCAATTCATAGCATGTGGTGCTTGCGCAATGAGGCAGAGTATCCGGAACTCACAGTTCCCGCCACCGCATCCCTCAAAGAGACGCAAGAGGTGACTGTGGTTGAGAGTGAATGTAGCCCCCTAAGCTTGTCGATCGCCTGCGATGGTAGTGTCATCAACAAGTATCCTGGGTTCAGAGATCGTTGTCAACTTTATCTGAACGAGCTTGTCAAGGAGATCCACACTTTGCAACTGCCTTCCATGTCGTTGGCAGAACCTTACATCCGCCTTGATCCTGCTCCAGATAGTGCTATTGCTGGAGCTGCAGTCGCTGTAGCCGTGGCTGTTGCAGATAAAAAACCAGAGTAGTCTTCAGAGGGGACATGATCTGGTGAGCAAAGGTGCCTGCGGTATGCATTATGAATTGCTCATTCCTCCAATAATCACCCAGCCCCATGCCAACCTTCTTTGCATTTTTAGGTGTTTTCTGCTGTGTTCGGGCGCTGTTGTGTCTGTTGCTTTTTCGAATGTGGGCAATTGGACGATGGTTGCCTCATTACCTGCTCCTTGCTTTGGGTGATTCACTGCCCATGCCATCGTCTGGGCTGTATTTCTAATCTAGGGTTTGTTTCCATTGCATATACGGGATTAATACTCATGCGCAGCATCTTTGAATACCAAGCGGCCAACGAGATAGATGGTTGAGGATTGTTTTATACACTTTGATGTACATAATCATAGTTAGCGGTACAAGGACTGTGTGATGCCCCACGGCCCCCTCGGACATATACAACACCTTGGCTTGTGCTGATCTTCAGAGACTGGTCTTCTCAACTCAAGATCCAGACGGGTCTCGCTGTACGAAACGTGGCTACACCAGACCGCGAATGGCGACAGTAGCACGTGTGCACACAAACATGACAGAAGGTCACGACTGGTTACAGTCTGCACAGATTGTTCTGGGAGGCAGATGAATTACTGCTCCCCACAAAGATCCAACAACAACTCCAGAATCCGCCGTTGCAACTGCAACAAATCGTGCCTGGTAATGAGCGTCTCTTTCTGGCCGCCAAACGGATTCACTACAGTCTCGGACTTGGCATCAGCGGCCAGCACCAGGTCTTTCCGGATACTGAAGAATGGAATCCCTAATGCACGCAGCTCCGCAATCATGGCATCGGCCATCTGCCTTGAAGCTCTGTAGACCTTCGCATCGTAGTTAGTCAGCTCGGCTTGATCTTCCTCGGCTGTCTGTTAGTCAAGTGCCACAAAGGCGCATTAGTCCAGTCAGATAAAAACCCAGTTCTGCTCGCGTTTCTGCGCTCGTGTCTTTTGTCTTCAAGGCCTGTCACGATAACGCCACCAGCGCAGTACGTACCGAGATTGATTTGTTATTGTCAACTGGCGCACCGACAGAGCGTCTAGTTGATTGAGAGTCAGAGAGAAACGATCTCTAGATAGTACCTGAGACCCGCTCTTTATTTTTCTTTTGTTTCGGGACCGGGGCGACCTGCATCGACCACGGAACATAGGGAATGCCAGGGGTTCCCCGCGACTGTTGGATTCCACTCACAGCACAGCATCGAGTTCCTTTTTCTTCTCCGTTCGCGCTTGCTGCTTCTTCGCCAACGCTTCCCGACCCTGCCACCACTGCTTTTCGTGGTCGTGCTGGCGACGGATCAACCATCGGATGCGGCTCTGGAGGTTCTCGTTCTGGGCCACTGTGCGCATGACGTGGCGGAGAGCGGCATTCCAAGTGGTGATAAATGAAGAGTCACCTGTTGTGCCATTTGGGGTTGTCTGGGCTCGCGGAGGGTGGGTATAGCTGGGGGTTTGAAAGGGCAAAGCCTTCTGCTGCTGCGCTTGCTGCTGGCGCGTCACGGGAACCGAGGGGAGGGTTTCTGATGGTTCGTATGGATCATTGTCTTCGGGGTCATTGGAATTGTAGGCCTGAGAGTTAGTGGGCGGAATAATGTCAAAAGATGAAGCTGGGGATTGTTGGTTGGATAGCGCAGAGAGGGTGCGCAGAACTGATGTCAGATCGGCTGAGTTGTAGTCCATTGTTTCGTGAGGGGGGGAGGGTAGTTCTTTCGCAGCGAGATATATAGGTAGTGGTAGGTATTGAACGCGATTCTGGGTAATATCAATATACTGTCAATATAATAAATGAAAGAAAATGGGAGTTGGTGGTTGCTGTTATTGTAGGTTGAATGAATGAGTTTAAGGAGTTGAGCCGAATTGGTGGTCGAAGGCGGGCTCTCTTTCCTTAGTGTTGCTCTTGTTCAATGCATCCATCGAACCTCTTCGTTTCCTCTGCTGAAAATTTCCCCGACCCCAACAAAACCTCCGCTTCCTCTACGATCCGCTCTCCATCTGTCTCCAGGATTTTCGGTTATTGGAGAGGGACCTTTATTCTGGATCCGGCCTATTGATATTGAACATTTAATAGTTTCGCTCGATTGCCTCTTCCCCACCCACCTCCCCCCCACCAAATCTCGAACGACAAGCACAGGAAATCCCGAGTCCGGCTTGAGGTCATACCATCATCCATCCATTATCCCCACGCTCCCTTCGGCCGCCTCCTTCCCTTTTCCCCTCAGTACACCTCTTTCTTACCGGCACATCGACGACTGGCACAATGTCTCGATCCGCCGCCGATGCGACCCGTTTCACGGCCACAGGGCCTTACGCCCACTCGAAGCCTGGTTCCGCGGCTCCGTACAAGCTCCCCGGCTTCATGGCCAATGCGGCCCAACAGCAACAGGGTGGACAGCCCGGAGGCAAACCCGAGACTCCCAAGGAGAAGGTCGAGCGGTTGCGAGCACAAGCCCGTGCTGCCCGGTTAGCTCAGTCGACGTCGCGCGTGGATCAGATGATCGACTTTGGCCGTCGATTCGCCAATAAGGCCCACAAGACCATGGTTTATACTCTTATTGCTGCATCGGGTATGTTGAACTGCCTTCCCTCCTTGAGCATGTGCTTGAGCAGAAGTTTCGAGTTAATACCAAGCTCGCTGCGGGGGAGCTGTTCCCTCGTTCCCTGCGCTTCCCCTTCTCTCCCTGGCCCCTCCTACGTCGCGATAGACGACAAATACCCATGAACCTCACGCAGCGACTGACCATAGAGCGAAACAGGCGTTTGCGGAGCCCTCACCGTCTACTCCATTGTCTCTCTATCTCTCTACAACCGCCGTCAGCGAACACTGTGGATCGAGAAGGAGCTACAGACCCTGCAGGACGCCAAGGTGGCCTATGTCAACGGAACCGCCACGCCGGAACAGCTGGAACTGCTGAAGAATGAGAAGATTGCCGAGATCTACCAACGAAAGAAGGATGAGGAGCGGCAGCAGCGCCCTTGGAACAAGGCGAAGCAGTACTTATTTGGGGGCTTGAAGGCGGACGAGGCTCCCGCCGAGGCAAACCCCAACCCCCTTCCCGAGAGCCTGGTCGCGGATGACAAGCCTCGCGTTCTCGAAGCCATCAATGCCGCGAAAGCGTCCGGAGAACTTGTCGCTCCCGCACAGCAGGGCCAGCTGGACACCCTGGCGGCCAATGCCGAGGATGCTGCTAAGCAGACGACGCGAAGCTGGACGAGCTGGCTCACCGGACGGTGAAAGGACGACGTATGGAAAATTAAGGAAAATACAGAGAAACTTATATGGGCTCGCGGGGGAGAGAGCAAAGCTTTCTCATACTGTCTGCTCGCAGCATTCCCCCCCTCCGCACGACTCCTGTTTCATGTTTCGCATGGCATTTTGTCGTTCGTCTCTTCCTTCCTCTCTTCTACCACATTTGGGGTTGTGGCGTATCCTGCTTTTTCTCTTCTGGGTGTGTGTGTGAATGTGTGTGCGCGCTGCGCCGAGATGTACCAATCTATGTGCTGTTGTTCTATTTGCGAGACTGCGCAATTCCAAAGTGCGGTTTTGCCATGCCGATGTACATATACCTATATTTCTATTCTTTTTATTTTTTATTTTTTCTTTTGATGATCTTACTACATCAGCTACTTATTTGCAGATGCTAAGCTAATTCGACAATAGCACCGGCCGAGCTGCTGTGTTGCTGTGTGAAATGTGAAGATTCCATTGATTCGACTGTACGTTTCAAATTGCGTGCAAATTATTGGACAACTAGATGTAAACCCGAACCAATCGCAGAGGACGCAAGATGATTATGCCAAACTTTTGATACTACCATGAATCAAGGCCCTGACACCAAGCTCCCAAGGGCCACTGACGCGAGCACACAAGACCCAATATGTGGACAAATTAGTGGAATGAAAGGAAAACGAAGAGAATCATTATCGTCACCGAATTAAAGGCAGGGAAAATCAGAGCGCCCTGGCTATGGTATCTAAATCAGACCGTCTCGAATAAACAGAAGGGAAACCGATCACGCCTGAACTGTCGGAACAGTCGTGATGGCTTATTCAGCAGCAACCTTGGCCTTGGCGGCGCGTCTGGCACGAATGGCATCTGCCAAGTCTTCCAGGACAGTGACCGTGGTCTCCCAGTCGATGCAGGCGTCCGTGATACTGACACCCTTGCGCAAGCCGGAGGGACCCTGGGGGGGGACCTTCTGGTTACCCTCGTTGATATTGGACTCGATCATAACACCGACGATAGCATCCTGGCCCTCACGGAGCTGGTCACTAACTTCCTTGGCCACCAAGGGCTGGTTGCGGTGGTTCTTGTTGGAGTTACCGTGCGAGCAGTCAACCATGACAACCTCGCGTTGCCCCTTTCCACGGAGGGCCTCACGGGCAGCCTTGATGCTCTCACGGTCGTAGTTGGTACCCTTGTTGCCTCCACGGAGGATAACAAAGCCGTGCTCGTTACCAGAGGTCTTTGTAATGGCAGCCAGACCCTGCTTGGTGACACCCAAGAAGCGGTGGGGGTGAGCGGCCGCGCCAATGGCATCAATGGCTACGGTCAGGTTGCCATCGGTGCCGTTCTTGTAGCCGATGGGGAAACTGAGACCAGAGGCGAGCTCACGGTGCAGCTGGGACTCGGTAGTACGGGCGCCGATGGCACCGAGAGAGATGAGATCTGCAAGGTACTGGGGGGAGATGGTGTCCAGCATCTCGCTGGCAATAGGCAAGCCCATGCTGGTTAGGTCTGCATAAAGACGGCGGGAGACACGAAGACCCTTGTTGATGTTGTAGGTCTCGTCAATATCCGGATCGTTGATCAACCCTTTCCAGCCGACCGTGGTGCGAGGTTTCTCCAGGTAAGCACGCATGATGACACAAAGGTCACCAGAGAGCTTCTCAGACAGTTCCTTGAGGCGACGGGCATACTCCAGAGCCGTCTCGGGGTCATGAATGGAGCAGGGGCCAACAATCACGAGCAGGCGGTCATCCCGCTGCTCGATGATCTCAATTGCCTGGTTGCGGCCGGCACGGACGGCCTCTAATGCGCGCGCAGGCTAGGACAATAGTCAGTTTTATCATTCAAGGAGTTTAGCAGGTTGGTGAAGAGGGGAAAGGTAGTCTGATTTTATGATATGGCCCCATGGTGGCTCACAATGGCCGAGGAAGCGGTGCGGAAGTGGTATGACTCACAGCAGGGATCTCGGTCTGCAGAAACTGGGGGGAGAGGAGGGGATCATATCCCAAGACTACGAGGACACAATGATTAGCAGAGAACGATCTCGGGCGCGCTTATGCAATTGTATACTCACCACGAGTGTCCTCGCTGACTTCGGTGGTGCTGATCAAAGGCATTGTGGTGAAGGGAGACACGCGAAATGTGCTGGTAAAAAATTAATGGGAGTAGCTGTTTGTGGTATACCCGAGGAGGGGTAATGAACAATGACTGAACAAGTGGGAGTACACTTCAGACTCTCCCGTTCTTTTGAATTGATTGAAATAAAATTAGCTAGACGTCGGCCAAGCTAGCGAAAAGATGAGAAGTTAAGTGATTGACAAGATGGGAGGGGGAAAGAAAGAAGGAAGAAAAAACAGAATCAGATGCAGATTGGCAAGCGGAGTTCAAGTTTAGAAAGAAGAAGAAGATGGATGGATGGATGGAGGTAACAAGACGGGGACTGCACCGAGTGGGCCCCGCGATCGGACTGATTCACACAAATGAAAAATTAGGAGCCTCGATTAAGGTTGTATGGCAGGAGAGGTACCGAACCGTATTGACTGTATTGTCCTTGAAACAATACCACTGGGCAGTAGGCACCCTCTTTCCTCCGGTCTTCCCTCCACTACTGTACCTATGACAGACTCTACACCATCGACATACATTACTGTATGTACATAGTGAGAGTCCACAGTCCACAGTCCGGACTCCGTTGAGGCTCCGCGCAGATATCACACCCATCCCAGGCAGACCTTAATTTGATGGGCTGGAATACGCTCCGACCTGCGGCCAAATGCACTGTAACCGGGGTGAGATGGTGACGTCCTCCGTTTTGCGGTCCGATCAATAGGTAGGTATGCGCATAGCTGAACCTCACCTGCCAGTGGTGACACCAGAGAGGTCGATCTCGTAAAGATCCTAGGCAATCGCGACTCAGCCCTCCCCGGCAGCAGTTTGGTGCTGCGTTCCATATGTTGCTTCACCGCTAGACTAAAACGTGCCGAACTTGAGGCACTGACAGTTCGACCGCCTCGTTGTCAGTTCCTCTTGCAGACGTAGTACAGCGGGAAGCGTGGTCTCGGTGTCCTGGCTCATAGAACTGGGTCATAGGACTGGGAGTGCTGCCAACGATAATGGATCAAGGCCACACACGTTCAAGGTTCCGTAGGCAACCATCCCAGCAGGGAATTGGCCAGCGATGTCCTTTGCAATACCATGACCTCTGAAACGGCCAGAAAAACTCATCATCCATGATAATATACCACGCAATTCTAAGTCATGATGGACTGACCTTACCCCACATGGCTTGACCAGCCAACTGTCGGTGTAGTGTTGATTTCGTCTGGTAGCTATAAAGGTTGCCTTGTATCAATATAACTCACTCTAAGTACGTATCCACAAACTTTGTTTGGCGGAAGAGGTCATGCTGCCTTCGGTGCGAGCGACCTGGCTCAATTTTGAAAGTGCCGCAGGGCTTTAGTACTGGGCTGCAAGGCGCAGTCCATGCTCCATCTGTCCAACCATTGTGACTCTATGAAACATGCTGAAGCAGATTCGTATAGATTATTCCGGGAGGCTACCTAACAGCCTCTTCCGAGATCTCTAAGGCAGCCATGCTGTATGGACTATCACTGGTAGATCAAATTGAGGTGTCAGACTATTTGGGCCACAATTGCCGAGAGTCAGCGTTCAGCACTGCTGACGGTCACCTGGTCAGGGCCATACCACAAAGTAGGTCTGCAAGCCATGGACTGAGCTGGGGGCTTGCTCAGTCACAGACACACAAATACCGATGCTTTGAAATTACCCATACTCGAAATCTACCAAGCGGCCCACGACGGCAGGTTCCGTGTGGACCTGGAGGTAGTTTAACGGCTGCATATCCTCCACAATCCCCATGCAACTGACAACCCACTGAACCAGGGGTAAGGCAATGAGCTTCCTCGAGAGTGGGCTGGAGATCAGTGGTCGACGAATGAACCAGAGTATTGATGATGCTAGCGAGTAGAATTTAATTAGTGGGTCAAGGGAAGGGAAGAGCTCTTTTATTTTCCGTTGAAAAATGATTGAAAGGTGTGTCCAGGAGAAGAGAAGGGGAGGATCAAAGGGTGTGGTGCGCGCATTTACTGGGGCCGGAGTAGTGTTTTGCGGGTTTGGGAGGGAATTGCTGGCGTGTAAGCGTTTTGCCGGAGAGGAAGGGAAGAACGCTTCTCCCGGATGCAGTAAAAAGCGGCCAATCCCGCATGGTTATCTCTGACCCAGTGGATACCTCTTGTTGAGCGATAGTCTAATAACCCATAGGAAGATCGATGTCCTGTATTCTAGGTTCCAGAGTTGCAGATTGACTTTTTCCTCCAGAAGTATCCGTTAAATCAATGTTCTGGTGGGGGCTCAGTTGCCCTTTAATGCCTTCTCGAATCTCGTCCCTCGTCCTCATTCATGGAAGAACCTCCTCTCCTTTCCAATCCCAACATCGACCTCGCCCGTCATTATTCCCGGGTTCCATTGTACACAAGAACTGAAGCAGCCTATTAGCAGAGTCGAGAGGTTGTAACATGTTTCGTCCATCCCAGTATTCTTTCGTGAAGTCCGTCTGGACGGTACCGGGATGCATCGCTATCGCTAATGCCCGGTCATTGCTCCGAGTGCGTAGATATAAGTCAAAAGTTTTCGCTATTTGAAACACAGAGGCCTTGCTGGCACGGTACGAGTACCAGCCTCCAGTTGCGTTGTCCGAAATTGAGCCAACTCGTGCAGCCATCATGGCGTATATGGCATGTGATGGGAGGTTCCAAGAGCAATCGTCCTTCCGAGGCTGTGAGTCTACCAGAAAGGGCTTCGAAGACTTGGTAGGCAAAAAGGGTGCAAGGTGCTTCATCAGCAGCATGGGGCCGAGAGCGTTGACCTTGTAGCTATTTAGAGCGCTGGCAGCATCAATTTGCGATGGTGATTTTTCGACGTGTAAGATTCCAGGAACGGTGATAGCTATACGGAGAGCAGCGTCTGGATACTCTCCTCGAATATGTGAGGCCATTGCTTGAATGGTAGATTCATCTAACAGAGTATTCAACAGGAGGACAAGCAAAGAAGATTGAGGTTTGGCCAAGTAAAGAGCTTCGTACCAGTCACGTCCATTTGTAAAACCCTCAGTCGCTCTCTTGGGTCACCGGATCGACTCTTGACTGCTTTTAACAGGCTATCTCGGACTTCATCACAATTCCTTCTCGCAGTTGCGATGACGGGTAGATTCGTGTGAGACAGCAGCTGTTGGGCAAAGGCGAAACCCAGTCCTTTCGAGGCAGGAGCCACGAGGGCGAACCCGTTGCCTGGAGATACCATTGATTGATGAGCTAGGCTTGCGAAGTAAGGTCTAGCTATTGGGCTGGGAAGGATCGGAGCTCAACTGTCGAGGAAACTCCATTCACAGGAATGATTCGAGCAACCATGACCGGCAAGAGTGACATCATCAATCATTGATACTCTGAGGCACCCATACTCTACATACCTTGATACTCGTACAGAGATCTTAGAGCAGGCAACACCATAGGTAAGCGTTCATGTGCGCGGCTGTTGCATTGTCATGCTATAACCAAGGAAGAGATCATCACTACTCTAGTTGGATACTTAAGGCTGAGCGTCTCAGTCACGATGATGTTCCTAAGTTGGTTTGGTAACAGCTTAATTGTATAACTGGTATTGGCTGTGTAATAAAACTCCAATGCGGGTGTATCGTGCTGTACTGGGTATTTTTCTGTCGGAGGAATATCAATTTACACCTAGTAGTAAGCAAAGCGAATATCCTGCGAGAGCTCATTGGAAGGTTGTCCGATATGTGGCCTGAGGCTTCCATCCATGATCGCTTCCAGTTCTGGACTTTCCCTTTGCTTGCTTAACTTGAACTGAGCGCGTTCCTACCCCGGGTTTTGATGCATCCTTGGCCAACACCATCTTCCATAGACAGGTGAAAAATGAGCAGTCAAACAAATGGTGTTTGAATTCGCCTCGATATAGCTCCTGCAACTGCTCGGGCATTTGGAATCTATTTTCCAATGTACCGAACTCCCATCTCTCGATAAAAACAGGGGGGCCCCAGTCACTGTTCACACTGCCTTGCCATACTCGAATGGGTGAAGTCACCTCCAGTTCGATCGCTTTCTCACTCGCTCTCTTGCAGTACTGCTCCCAGATTAGACATGTTCACTTATACCGCCAAGCGTCCGCGGGAGAAGGAGGACCATGAGCCCGATGGAATCACAACTCATGAAAAAAAGGTAAGCCTGTAACTGAAGTCCAGAAAACCGTGATGTAGTGCTCACAACAGACAGAAACATCGCTCTTTGCCTCTACGTGCCTCTCCCCAAACAAATAGCAGTTTGCCGTTCTTGAAAAGTGACCATAATGCCCTACAAGTCGGCGTATCGAGTTTGACCTCAGCAGAGTCCTCGGAGGATGATAATGACCATGGGCAGCGTGGCGAAAACCCTCACAGCTGCTTAATGGAAGCGGAGTACCAGCAGGCCCAACCAGTGCTTTCAGCCGCTCGGTTTGGCACGGAAATGGACGTTGACAACGGCAGCAATATCGGTATGGATTCTGTTGACGAGAGCTGCAATGACCGCTCACAACAATCCCCGATACCACCCAGAGTCATATACCGCTCACTCACAATAAGCGAGCAACAGACTACACGCCTCGCCCATGGAGCCTGCCCCTCTACAGTCAATTCCACCGAGAACTTAGAAAATCGAAATGGTGCATATCGCACACGCCGCGATGCTTTGGATGACTTGTACAACGACCGCAATACAGCTTGGTGGCGTGATCAACATCTTCCCAGCCCCGTTAGTGACGGCGGTGCCATGGCCATCAGTAGTAAAGATTCGGCTAGTGATGCGGATATGACCTACACTATGTCGCGCCCGGCGTCCCCTTCTTCTGGACAAATGAGTGGCATGTATACGAACATGTGTGAATCGGATCCTTCGCCGGGTTTCATTAACGGGGGTCAAACTAGCCCAAAGAAGTTGACATTTTCGATGGGCTACCGGTCTGATTGTGATAGATGCCGACGCAAAGTTCCTGGTCACTACAGTCACATCATACGCGGTTGATATTTTTATGATACCCTAGGCTCACGGTGTTTCTCGATGAAGATTTCAGTAAAGAGTTGTGATTCTTGGTCTCCCTCACAGAATGTAGATCTCCACCTACAGAGTCGTATCATAGATCTATCTACTTTGATTTGCTTACCTATTTCGGAATGCACACTTCTAGACCTCCGGAAATGTAGCCATGGCTACCAGGCACTGTCCGGTCATTTCCGACTGCGTGTTCCGATGAAGATGACATAAGCATTCGGATCCGAACAAGACGGAACGGATTCAACTGGCTATTTGCCATCGGAAAGCAGACCGTACCTAGTCGATAACAGATAAGGTAAGGTAGATCGATGGAAAGTACATATTTGGGCAGGCGAGAACAGCAATAGATCACTCAAATTGACCACCAAGAAAAGAAGAAATACGGAAGGAGAGGGGGCGGGGTTCCCGTCACTGGAATATTTGTAGTTGAATACGTACAACACAACACTTCGGCAAGGCATAGCCGTAATCAGATCCTCAGATTTACCCCCCTCCGCCTTTCCCCGCGGCTGTCCGCTTAGCCGATCTTCACTGCCGGCAATTCGGTGGCTCCTCCAGAACGGCTCGTCCACCAGCAATGGATCCCGAGCCCCAGAATTTCCTACCATGGCGGTCCTTCTTCGTCAATAAGTATGCTAGCGCTCCCCAGTTTTCTTCTTTTTCCTGTCGGAAACGAGGCACGAGCTGCGACTTCTGCTCTAACGTGATATCCTCTAATCTTCTGATCCTCTGATCCTCATTCCAGTTCAAGGAAACCCCTAGATCTACTTCACAATGGCCTCTCCGATTCCCCGGGGCCTGCGCCAGGTCCTTCAGAAGTCTCCCAATGACATTGTCATTCTCTCTTCTCTCCGTACGCCTGTCACTCGGGCGAAGAAAGGTGGCTTCAAGGATGCTTATCCCGAAGAGCTCCTTGCCAACGTGCTTCGTGCCACTCTTGAGGCGAACCCAAACCTTGACCCGGCCCTAATCGACGACGTCGCCATCGGTTCTGTTCTCCAGGAGCTCGGCGGTGCCAAAGCTGGCCGTATGGCGCAGATCCATGCTGGTTTCCCCAACACCGTCTCTTTCCATACTATCAACAGACAATGCTCGTCCGGCCTGGCTGCTATCTCCACTATTGCCAATGGAATCCGTGCCGGCGCGATCAACATTGGTGTCGGTGGTGGAATGGAGTCCATGACCCGCAACTACGGTTCCCGCGCTATTCCCACTGTCCTCTGGCCTGAACTCAAGGAGTCATACTCGCAGGATGCCCGGGATTGCATCATGCCGATGGGTATCACTTCGGAGAATGTCGCCGCTCGCTACGGAGTCTCCAGAGCAGACCAGGATGCTTTTGCCGCCGAGTCGCACAAGAAGGCAGCCGCGGCGCAAAATGCCGGCCTTTTTGACTCTGAAATCGTTCCCGTGAAGACCCTGTCCTACGATCCCGCGCACCCCGACGCTGCTCCCACCGAAATTACCGTCTCCAAGGACGATGGAATTCGCCACAACCTGTCAGTCGAAAAAATGGCTAGCTTGAAACCCGCCTTTTCTGCCGATGGTGCCAGCACTGCTGGAAACAGTTCTCAGGTCAGCGACGGTGCTGCTGCGGCCCTGCTGATGCGCCGCTCTACGGCTACTGAGCTCGGCTTGACCTCTTCCATCAGGGCTCGCTGGGTGGCCTCTGCTGTTGCTGGCTGCGCTCCCGACGAGATGGGTGTTGGCCCTGCCGTTGCCATTCCCAAGCTTCTGCAAATGCTGGACATGAACGTTTCCGACGTTAACATCTGGGAGATCAACGAGGCCTTCGCGTCCCAGGCTCTGTACTCCGTTCGCAAGCTTGGAATTGACGAGTCCAAGGTCAATCCCAAGGGTGGTGCTATTGCCATTGGTCACCCTCTGGGTGCCACTGGTGCCAGACAATTGGCGACCCTTATTCCTGAGCTTGAGCGCACGGGCCAGGACGTCGGTGTTGTTAGCATGTGCATTGGAACCGGTATGGGTATGGCTGGCATGTTTGTCCGGGAGTGAAAGTGATGAAAGTGAGGATTTCATTCTGTACAGTTTTTTTTTTTTTCTTTTACATTTTCATGATTTCAGCGTAGACGCATGTATATACACCCACAATTCATGAAGTATTATTTTCCCAACGGCCGTGTTTTCGTCGATTGCTTGCTCTTTAGAATCTTGATAAAAAAATCTTGACATTCGACGACTGTATAATTTCTGGTGTGTACTGCACGGTAGTTAGTTACCTAGCAATTTACGTGGACGGTGGTTCAGCATGAGTATTCTTCCCGGCGCCAAGCCCGGTAGTTCATCTCACGTGATAAACCGTCCGGAGTTCATGAAACTTTTCCCAAGACTGGCCGAAGAGTCCCCGACAGCAATCCCGCAACGCTGCAGTCATGCGTCCCTCTGTGCGTTTGTTGAACCTGGAGGTGCCCTCTATCCAGGGGGCCCGATCTCTCTATGTCTGCTCGGTCTGCAGACATGAAGCGCGTCCTCGTCCGATTGTCGCCCGCCAATTCTTGCGCAACGCCTCCAACGCGAACTCGCTGACCGAGAAGGTGCGCCGCAAGATCTGGGGCACCGACAACCCCCCCGGTCTTAAAGACCCCTATGGTGGAGAGGGTGCTCTTGAGCGGAAATTCAAAAGCAAGCAAGCTCCGACGGTAGTAGAAGAAGAAACACCTGAAGCCTCGCAGGCGCTCGACACCGCTGACTCCAAGGCCGCTGCACCCGCTGCAGACGACTATGAGCCGGCGACAACATGGGAGGGTCTCGATCGCGTCGGCCACCTCGGTCGGTGGTCTGACCTTCCTCCTGCGCCGACTGACGCATACAAGTCGTAAGTGGTCCTCTGGCAGTTCGGCCATTCCGCCTTGTTGTCATATGGGAAGCGAAACACTTCCGTATAGTTGTTCGTTGGGCTTTGAGCAAGTGTTTAATGAGTTTTTTTGTAAAACAGATTCCAGTACAAGAAGAAGATTACTAAGAAGGGCCTACTCTCAATCGCGGCTCACCAGGCTGTCGTCGAGCTCTGCCTCATGCACCAGCTGGGTAAGCCCTTGACGAGCGTCTGTGATGTCGAAGAGCACGATCAGTCGGTTTTCAAGTTGATCTGGAAGACCAAGGTGGTACCTAACACGGATGGACAATGGAATGCGGCACTGGAGTATCCCAACAAAGAGGCTGAGGAGGCTCTTGTCTATGTTTTTGAGCAAATCGGTGGCCAAAAGGTCGCTCCTGAAACGGAAGAAGTGTCGCAGGATATTGAAGAGGCAGAAGAAGCGACAAACGACTCGACAGACATCCTCGGCGCTGAAGAGACCAAGCAACCTTTCTTTGGTTACCAAACTATTCGTGACAATGGTTTCTTGTCTCTGTCGCTGAATGACCCGGCCACGAAGTTTGCTGTCAGTTTCCGTTCCCCCTTCGCTCTTCATCGGGCAGCTGATGCCCCTTGGTCATTCTCAATCTGACGCAGTTACTGACTCATTTCGAATTTTAGTTCTTGAAGAGATTCTCCCAATTGACTGGCCACTTCTTCCCCGACCCTGCTGTTCATTCGATCGCCACGGTTCAGCAGGCCGTTGACCACGTTCAGCAAGTCGTGAAGCCGAAGCCGAAGAAGCTGGCTGATTACCTGGCCAATAATCAGCGGTACTCAAACATGCCCAACATTAAAGTCTTCGCCAAGAGACAGAAGCGTTCTGACAGGGATGAAGAATTGGGCCGCAAGAAGCTCATTGAAGCCGAGCTTCGCGCCAGAGGTCTTATTGAATAGACTGCAATGATAGTGGGTTCGGGGTATGTCCCCGACGTTTAAATTTCTAGTTCTTGTAGCATGTTATTTGTTAAACCCTTGCTGTACAATAGGAAGCAATGTCTTGTCCGTTAATGTCGTTAAAGTATCAGTACACAAATTCAAATCTATCAAACAAAGGGATTAGGGTCAAGAGCTACATCCTATGGGTTTCCCAACTTTCACCGAGAGAAGCAAATCCTTGAAATGCCAGTTTTGTGACATGAATGAGCATAATGCAAGAAGATACTCAAGCTCGGTGCCTAGAATTTGCAGGAAGGGTAAAACCTCGGGTCATGAAGTCGGTATTCTTTGACATTCCATCTTTACCGGATTCCTTCGTGAAGAGACTGCTCAAGTTGTCATTATGTCCCATCAGCTTGCGTCGCTTTTTCTTCTCATTCTCCTCCTCAAGTACACGAGCAGTCAGCATGGCGGTGGCCGCATTCTTGATTCCACTAGGAGCATTTGAAGTAGGCGTGGACGTGTTGCTACGGCTCGCAGTGGCAGTTTCTTCCCCCGCGCGCAAGGCTGACGATGACACTGGCTTTAACTCTTTCCCCGGCTTGACCTCTGACTCGGTACTGGCGACAGCATCGCCATTGGCGTGCTTCTTCCGTTTTTTCGAACCAGGCGCCTTCTTCAAAGAATGTGTCAATCCTTGCTCGGCAAGCTTCTGGCTTCGCTCGATCAGCTGTTGCTTATCTGACTCTTTCGCCGGGAGTATGGTGATCACATTGTCGCTAGCGTAAGGTTCGTCGCACTACATGCACGCCTGTTAGCGCAATCCAATTATCAGGGGCGTAGCGGGTTCGTAAGCACCTGTAAGCACCTATCGCCCTTCAGCTGACGGATCGCTTCTTCGGAGAAGACATGTCCGCAAGGAATCAGGTAGACGGATTTGACACTCGGGCCCAACTGCTTGGCGGTGACTGGACAGATCCAGCCCTCGCGCTTCTCGTGCTTCCCAGATGGATGTCCACCGTGCTCGGTGTCAACTTCGAACTTCAGCTCCACGACGTCACGGAGACTCTTCACCCGGCCACAGAGAAACTCATCACAGTCGGCTTTCGAGCTGATACCCTCGGCTTCATCTCCCGGTAACAGATATCGTAGGACGGAGTCTTTATTGAACAGGTTTCCGACGGAGTCGGAGACGATAGGCCGCATTAACTGTTTATGCGACAGGGGACATGTGTTCCAAAAGTGTTCCTGCAATTCGCGCTGCGTTTCTTTCAATTGCGCCGTGCTGGGATTCCGGGCGGCTTCGCGAACGAGCTCGCGGCGAGTGG